GATCCGCCGACAAGAGTTAGTAATTGTGAAAATCCATTTACTGTTGTGAACGAGTGAGCTCGGATATTATCGAATTTTTTGCTAGTGTGATTTTCATCTATAACTTGTGAAAATATCGTAGTTTGTTAGCATTGTGTTCTACGATTCCAAAGATGAAAAAATTTTGACGATCGTTGGAAACATTACCAACAAATAATTATCGTGAGTATTCAATTATGCATATATAATTTTGGACTACCTGTCCAAAGTTTCATCGTGAATAGGACACAGCTTTGAGTATTTGAAAAAATACTCCAATAGGTGAAATCGTTCTCAATTTTTCTGAAATAATCTGAAATACTTCTGAAATAGCTGAATTTTCCTTAATTTCTTTTCAATAATTGAAAGAGAAAAATTTTTATATTTAGAAAAGAAATTGTACAGAATTCATGGATTGATATCAGCGTTGTGTAAGAGGATTATACTATTGGATGCGATCGTAGCCGGTAAAGTTGTAATGGAAACTTCACCGGGTGATGATTGCATCCAATATCAAATCCCTGTACATCTAACGTTTACAGCTATATGCATATCGCTCTGTTAAGTATTGTTGTTAGGGTCGAGTATGTGACTGGTACACAAATAAGAAAAAAAATTTGTGACTAGATCATATATTCGTCTTTAATGGCAAAAAATATCACCTGAAGATTCAGTTCACATCTCGTTCATTTATCTTTGGTGATCTAACTATATGTTGTATCGAAATATCATAAAGCTAGATCAGCAAAGGAAAGATGCTCGAGACATAGCAACACGGGATATTGTCGGCGATCACATATCAACGATACAGACACATTTTTTGCAGGAGTAATTTAATGTTAGTATTACTAATGCATGTGAAATAGTATATATTTAATAGTATAAAAGATATCCCAAAATTTGCGCATTCAGAATACAGGATATGATATTTTATGCTAAAACAATTTTTTCCTTTTGCAAAATTACGTTTGACAAGTAGTTTTTGCAGAAGAGCAAGTTGAAATTACCAAATAAGCACAAAAATTATTTATCGGACGCAATTTTGCTAAAGGAAAAAGTTGTTTGTTTTAATATAAAATATGTTCTATACTCCAAATGTGCGAATTTTGAGACACCCTGTATATTTTTCGAGCTTGTTTTACCACGGCATTAGTATTTCAGAATTTTTATATCAGAATTTTTCTTCATTATAAACTGATATATAAAAATTGCTGGAGTCTTCTAAAAAAAAATGAGTGCCTTTGATTATATTAAATTCACATATATTGTAGATTGTCATGAAAGCAAATAACTTTTAGTCACAGAGTTCAAAGGGACTTTTATTGTGATATGTTAATACAAGCTAATCATATCACAGTATAAGTTACCTAGTTCTCTGTCGATTATTTTCATTTTTTGATCGTATATTTTTTTCTAGCAAGAGAGTACCACGCAAGCTTTTTAGAAAAAAAAAAATAGGATCAAATTCATTTTAGCGCTAGCTGGCAAAACAAAGGTACAGCATGAGATGGATATAATCCAGTTTGATTTACATTTTACAGTCACTGGGTAATATTCGTCCCTTGTATGTACTAAATAATCATCTTTCTCGCTCATATTAGCATTCTAGATTTATCATATTGTTACAATTACTCGAAGTGTACGTATTGTCGATACAATTAATATTATTATTTATCTTATTAAGTAACAAAATATGAACTGCAGCAGATGAAATAGATTTGCTTGTGAGTACAATCTATTTCATACGGAAATGTTTAAGAGTCACCAACCTTGTTTACGAGGCAATTTCTGAAGTCTATTTGCATGTCAGATACTGAAACTCTATCATGAGGTCTTTTAGGTCCGCTGACACTTGAGACTACAGTGCTCAAATCCAAAGTGACTACTTCGGAAAAGATTGGATCTTGGCTCGAGTCATCATAATTCCTTAACATGCGTACGTTTTCAAGATATTTCTCAATCCTTTCAATGTGTTCCTCAGATCGACCTAGATAATATAGAAAAATATATTTATATATTACATAAAATATTATATCAAAAGCCATCATATCATAAAAGATATTTATAAAAAATAAATAATTACTGATAGAGAAAATTTTACCTGTTTGCTTGAGATATACTAAACTTTGTTGATCCACTGCGAAAAAGCCTATGGTTGCACCATATTCCGGGCACATATTAGAAATGGTAGCACGATCCGCGATACTTAGCTGCGTTACGCCTGGTCCAAAAAATTCGACAAATTTTCCAACCACTCCGACTTGTCGAAGATTCTGCAAAATATTATAAGTTTATAAGATTATATAACTGACTTATTAATATTACTTATATATAAAATATATAGTATATTCCATTATATATAAACTTTATTTATTAAGAAATAAGTAAAATTCTATTTATAAAAACATATAAAACATTTAATATTACAGTAAAAATCTCTCTAAAAAGCTTCTATATTTTTACAAAGCTTGCCCGGAAAATTCTTACCTTTGTAATAGTTAAAACAAGATCAGTAGATGTGGCATATTGATTCAATACACCTTCTAATTTATATCCTACAACTTGTGGTATTAACATAGAAATTGCTTGACCAAGCATAACAGCTTCTGCTTCAATACCTCCAACTCCCCATCCAAGTACACCCAGACCATTGACCATGGTAGTATGAGAATCAGTACCAACTACACTGTCAGGATATAGAAAATTGTTGGAGTCAAATACCACTCTTGCCAAGTATTCTAAATTCACTTGATGCACGATACCGCTTCCGGGAGGAACAATTAACATATTTTTAAATGCCTTTGCACCCCATTTAAGAAACATGAAGCGTTCTTTATTTCTCTCAAATTCGAGTTCTTCATTTTTTTTTATGGCATCATTGCTGAAACATGCATAGTAATAATAGATTTATATAAACCATTATAGGCAATATAACACAAAAATAAAAAAAGATTCTTGGATTTTTCTTATTTGTATCTCTTCTCACAATATTATTAAACATATTACATAAAACTTTTTCTTTTCTTGTAACATTTCAGCAATATTAGAGCTTCCAGATTATTTTTTTATTAGCTTATGATAACCTTTAATCCTCTCCATTATTTAAAAAAATCAAAATACACTTGATAAAGCATACTTGATGAACCATACCTTCTAATAAAGCATACCTTCTAATAAAATCAGCCTGTATTGAATGATCGATTACAAGGTCTGATGGACAAACTGGATTAATTTTATTAGGATTGCCACCGAGTTTCTTTACAGCATCTCTCATCGCTGCAAAATCCACAACTGCCGGTACTCCAGTAAAATCCTGTTTGTAATTGAATAAACAGCAAGAAATATATTTTTTGCACATGACTAAACTCAATAAAATATGGAATTTTGGAGATACTTTTTTACCTGTAATATAACTCTCGCAGGCTTAAAGGCCACTTCGACTCCATCTTGTTGAAGGGATTGATTATTTTCCCAATCCAAAATTTTCTCAACATCTAGTTTTGTTACTTGGAAATTGTCGCAATTACGGATGGCACTTTCCAAGAGAACTCGGATAGAAAATGGTAATCTGTCTGTAAGGCCAATACATATAATATTTATTCATTAGATGTGAAATAAGACAAAAACTTACCATATTTTGGGTCTAAATTGCCAATATCATAATACTGGTAATCTTTCAATCCAATTTTAATGGATTTTAATAGACTCTTGTAAGGATTTGTTTCTGAAATAAAATTATATAGTTTATTTTATTATAAGTTAAAAAATGTATGACACAAAATATATTATTTTTATATTTTTATTATAATACTGTTAAAAAATTATAAAATTTAATAGCATAGAAAGCAAAATAAAATTCCAATTTAATTTCTATTAATATATTTTCTTTCCCTTTAAATTTAATTAATGTATTCCCAATAATAAAAATATATAAATAAACATTTAGAAAACTACAGTTGCATCTTCAAAATTTAAAATTTGTCTTTCTTTACATATTGCAACTTTGAACATTAATTAAAATATCTGCCTAAATTTGTGTTACAGTGAATATATATAAGAAATTATAATATTTTATGGCACTCTTCGCGTTTATATTAATACATAACTCTATAAAAATAAGTATTTTTTAAATTCTAAATATTTTATTTTTTTATATGTTGCAACTTTTATCCTCACGTAAAACACCCATGAATTTTAATTCCTTTAAGTTCGAATATTATTATGAAATATGCGAATTAATATTTTTCACTGGAATAAATTGATCTAATGCAATAAGTTAACGATAATAAATTCGTTGTCTTCACTTGTTTACATTTCATTTTTTTAACAAAATAATACCAACAAACAAGTACACATCTTTCCACTTACCAGCCATGATTGTCACTGAACAAGTCACGTCGGCCCTATTGCACGATATGTATATAGCGCTTATACGGCTTATACCGAATGTCCCAGAAATAATGATATTCGCAATATACGATTTCCTTAACAATTTTTCGTCAACACAATCACCGCACGTTGCGCAAACGCGAAGCGATTCTGTAAATGAATTATTTTTCTTTTCAAATCGAAATCAGGCACTAAAAGCGCGAAAACATAAAAAAAAAAGAACGAAATGAAATGAAAGTTTCATCAGGTTGTGTAATGTAACACCTCTCACAAGTTAATTCGCATAATTCTCTCAATTACGACGGAGAGGAAGGGCAAAGTTCAGTTACCGTGTAATGAGATCATTAAGCGACACTAGGTACATTGATCACGTGGTACGTACATGTGCGTACGTGTATATGGCGCGATATATCGCGAGACGCGAATATCGCGATCTGTCATGTCACACCGTCAACTGTCACATCAGCAAACTGACGCAGACAGCAGACTTCAAGCGATATTTGCCAATATTTATGTGATAACATAAGATAACGCTCTCTCTTCGATGTCGAATTAATTTTTCAAGGAAACTCTACAAATCTCGCGTGTCGATTGGTTTTGCAAGCGTCGCGTGAGACTCGAGGTCCGAAGATGGAACGAAACTTGGTGAAAACATTGGATGACACGTAAGCGTTATGGGGCATATAGGTTAGGAAATCTTCCTCGATATAAGTTTTTAAATATTTTTTAATTTTTATCCTATAATAAATATTATTATATTGTGAATATTATTTAGGCTCGGTTTTTTGTTATTTTATTTTTGTGATGTAAAAATTATATTTTTCTATGGTTAGCGAGTAAAATTATCACTACAAAACGATCAGTTTAGTTATCATTAATCATAGTTATAGATGCACAATTTTTACATGTTATTAAATGAGTCTAAATACAAGTTAATGAAAAATTGAGCGTTAATATTATTTAACATTTGTGTATTTTACATTTGTGTATCTATCTTCGTTTCTATTTTCTTGAGCATTACATTAGTTATTATCATTCTTGTATATTTGTTTAGTAAAGTATTATTGTACTATATAGGCATGACAAGGAAGGAATTATTGGCTGTATTTTGGCTGATCACGCTGGTCTCTGTCTTGGAGGTAATAAATTATCAAAGATCTAAATAAAAAAATTATAGATATTAAAAAATGATATGAAAAAATTTCAAGCATTCGTATGACCTGCATAAAGTTGTAAACTTTTGTAGTTAAGGGCGATGCATCGAGCGACAGTGCTGGGTTGATAGCGGCCATAGCGGATCTAGTTGCAAAATTGGAACCGAAATCTGGATCACCAATTATATCGCTTCAAAATGATAACAAGTAAGCAAAATAACAATTTTGCGATATTTCTAAATATAAAATGAAAACTTGCTTGAATTTCAGGCAGTGTATTATACTTCGTAAGGAACCTGTAGTTGGTGCTATATATAAAGACATATCGATTTGAAATAATCACTGTTATATAAGTATGGCTGAACTTATAATATTTATATTCAAAATGCAATCTTTTTTTACAAAAATATTTAAGTATCAAGTATACGTGCAAATTGTTAATAAAAAAAATTTAATAGATATGTGGCTCTCTCTCTCTCTCATCATATAAGGATTTATAGTCAATTTTAACTAGTTGTACGAAAATTGTGTGTGTGTGTGTGTGTGATCTTTTAACATTTTACAAGATCTTATAATGAACCTATAGTTGATTCATATATTAAATAAAATAATTTATATTACACGAGGATTTCAGTCGCTCTTTTTCTGTTTATTTCTTCTTTCGTACCACTTGCTTGTGGCAAGCTGGATTAATTCATAATTTTCATATAACCAAGACATAAATACAATCATAAACATTATTATGCCAACTAATAGGTGCAATATTTTTTCACTTGGGAAGAAGTAAGTCTGAAATAACGGAAGAGATTACTGCTACGCGATTTTAGCGTACATACATATAAAATTACATCGTGAATACTTTACGTGTGATAAATTAGTGGCGAACGCTGCAACAAGTAGACATGTGGAGAACATGGGCTTTGGTACTAGTCCGCGTAATGGACGATAGACTGTGTCTTGATGTCTCTTATTAATGAATATCACCGAATGTATGATTCTCAGGCCCATGTTCACGCAGTTGCCGAGAATAAAGCCGACCGGACCAAACCATATAGCAAACAGATATGATGCGCCCAAGAATGTGATCGACTGGTAAACCATGATCAAGTTGCTCTTGTTTATGGTCACATTGTCGGCTGTTGCGTTAGTGTAACATTCGGTTACGCCATTGATTCCTAACAGTAACACGGCGAGACAGTGTGCTCTTAGCAATAGAACAGGTAAGGGTAAAATCAACTTTGAGCCGCCGTACAACCAGAGCAATAGACTCGAATAAGATTGACCGAATACTAGAACAACCAAACCAATACATGTAACAACAGAACACAAATGTGTCAATACATTTACACTCTCTTGTACTTTCACCTGAAAATATCATATTTTATAAATAGGTACATAAAATTTTATTTAATTTTAGTAAACATGAAAGGATAATAGACACTCACTGGATTTTGATCAGAAATCGTTTTATCCCTTTTCACCATTTGTGTGAAATAAAAATAACCACTATCTTCGATTGGACGGAAAATAAATCTAGCAGCTAGCGAACCCATATTATTCACTATCTCGTAGACTCCCTTAAAGAAAGAAAAAAATGAGCATCTAATGACGATATTGGAGTATACGCAAGTGTCCTAAAATTCGCGAATTATAATATTACAATAAAAAAGATCTTAAAAAATGAAGTAAGAAAATTATTTATAAATTCTTATTTTAAGTAGTAATTTTTTAGATAAGAGTTTAAATATGGCTAATTATAAATTTTATATGTAAACAGTCACCTGATCATGAGTCGTACATACCATATTGTAGTGAGTACATTTGAACACGCTTATTAATACTACAATACGGCACGTGCAATTAATGGACAGATGGTCATTTAAATGTAACCTAATTGACCATATTTAAACTATTATTATTTCAAAAATTATTGTTAAAAATTATTGTCAAAATTTATGAATAACTTTTTTTACTTAATTTTTCTTACTAGAGAACTTTCTTACTACAATATTTTGATTACAAATTTGGGAAATATTCTGTACATTGACACAAACCTGTTCTGTAAATGTTAATACTGGCATTATAGTCATGATCAATCTTTCGCCTTCCGTCAAAATCTGTTTTAGGATTCCTTGCCTAAAGAAGCTCCACGTGAGATTAGTCAATTTCGTATCAAAGTACGAATCCTACGGAGTAACTGTTGTATTTTTCTTACGAAACAATAATGTAACAATGCAATTATAATACATACATTATTTTTTAGCTGACAAGGTAAAAAATCTTCTATAGTATGAAAGGGAAATTCTCTTATCACATATTCATTGCTGTTATCTTTCAAAGACATTCTTCGTTTCTGTGACTTGTTCAATGTCTTGATATGATAATGAAAATATGCATAATGACTAGTTGTATAAAATATTGCCGCAACAAGTTGAGCGATGCCGAACGCAAGTAATGCGTTCTCAGGATAATATAATATTAGTGGGACAAACGTCATAGTGCGAATAATGATCATGATCGTATCCAGAATTATCTGGAAGAACAAAGTTGTAAAATACTCATTTCTTGAAAATCTTTTATCTTTTGTCTTACTTTAAGCCTAACGAAGAGAAATGCGCTTGCGACTAATTGAACGACTAAGGAAGACAGTTCTATAATACATGACAGCCCAACTGCCCAAACTGCAAATGTGTAATATGGTGGTAATATCTCTGTGGTGGAGAGCAAGAACAACCAAATATATCCAAATAGGAAAGACATTACAATGCATATGGGTACTCTAAAACACATTAATTAATTCATATAATTTTGTTCAAAGAGAACAATTGAGTCTCTCAGAAGACAAACTGATGGATTCTATATTTTTCTATAATTTCTTAATTTCAATAGCATGATTAGTTTTATAACTTTATCAATTTTTATATGCTTCTTATTTCATGGGGCTGATCAGTATAGTTTCTGAGATGATCAATTATCATATAATTAAAAAACTAACGTCAGCCATAGTAGATTTATAACTTGTGCCCAATTATGCTCCGCTGTGTTAGTCAGACATGCTTTCACAAATGGCTCGCGTGATAAGAACAGTATCATAGATTCCAATAAGAGTAATCTCACATTAATGACGCCTAGGATTGCCTGGCCAACATGACGAACAACAAATGCGTTCAGAACAAATGTAACGCAGCGACAGAATATCTGTGGAAGAAAAGTTTTTCTAAAATTTTATATGACATAGTATTTGTCAATACAAAAGTAGTGTCTCTAATCACTCTTAGATTAAATACCGGTTTTATCAACGTACCTGAAATATAATGCTAAACGAGGCATTCTCCAAGCTGCTCTTCAGGATATTCGGCGGCATCTTCAGACCGATTCGACAAAAGCATGTGTGAGAATGTTTCGAGATTCCCGCCGGGAGATGTAGAGAAACATTAATTAGCCCCCTTTCCCAGGTTAGGTAAGGTTATGTGAGAAAACTACGATCTATTATGACCACAGGGACAATCAGGATAACGTTCACCAATCATCTCGGTTTCGTATGTATTACCAAGTCTTTTGTTTGTATAAAATTCTGTCAGTGGAAAAAGAAAGTGACCGTAATTAACATGATAACATTTTGTGACCGTGATGTAATCACGTCGAAATGCGTGGCAATACAGACGATACAATTACAGACGCAGACCGCGTAGACAAGATAGATCATAAGCAGACGTTATGAGTTATAGATATTTACACGATACTATTTTTCTGCTGCGGAGAGAAGCGTCGTGTAAACTGAGTAAACTGATCTTGTCGCCGATTGAAGATGATGACTAAAATTCGACTAATTGTAAACTTCGATTAATTTAATCAGCTTACTTCGATTAATTTGTTAACTCATTCACTATTTTGTTGATATAGATTTATTAATTAGAGAAACAAGGAATTATGCAGGTTATATTTGAATAAGTGTCTAATTTTTTATCGACGTAAATATATATTTCCAAACATTAAAAAGAGTTCACATAGGTGGTCTGTTTTCTGTTGTTGCATTAGAACTCTCTTTGACTCTTTTTTTCAACTTTCTCGCTTTCGAGAAAAATATCAAACGTATATACTTTTCTCACTTTAAGTTCCAAAAGTGCACACTAATTCAACTGTAAGAAAACAAACCTGGATTTAAGTCTATTCTACAATGTGCTCTTTGTTTCCTGTTTTTTGCTTTTTTTCCTCTTTACAATCCTCTTTATTAACAATTGTATTGCTATGTATTTCTTGCTATGTATTTCTTGTTTCTTTCGAAATTCGTTAACTTTTATCTCGGACAACATAAAAAAACAAAAAACCGGCATCAACTTACTTTGATTTTAAATGAGGCTTAAAACTTTTTTATCTTTGTCTCTTTTCGGCTTTAAAATGAGACAGATAGAGTTTTAAATCTCGCTTAAAGTCAAAATGACATTGATGCAAATTGGGCCTAAGAAGCAAAAAGACAAGATGTAAAAAATAGCAAAAAGCAAGAAACAGAAAAAAAGCATATTGTAGAATGGGAGCTTTAAAAACGCTTATGGTGAATTCAACACTACACTTCGTACTACTGGATGCATATTAAAAGCTGCTTCATACATAAAATATCTTAATGATATAATATAATCATCTTTGACAATAATATACATATATTTTAATTGTTAAATAACGTGATAATATCATTAGTAATATTCAGGGTTGGCAACTTATAAAAATAACTTGTTACCGTTACTGCTCTTTTTGTTAAAAAAAATAATTCGTTCTCATTACTCGTTATTCATTTGCAAAAATAACTCATTACCGTTATTGTAATAACGAGTCGTTATTTTTTCGTTTCTTTTTTTTCTTGACTAATAGAAAATTGTATACAGATTTTTGCGGTAAATGTAAAAAAGATGTCAAAATTCTATTTTTTAGTAGAGAAATAGAGCTCAAAAAGTAAATATTGTGCGTTATTTTTATGAATGAAATAGATACTGTCATATCGCATAATGTATACTGCATTGTTTATAATTTTTATACTTAAATACATTTATTTTTCGTTAATTTTAATAAGATATTTTTAAATTATACGTTTAAATTATACGTTTAACTCTTAATACATATACAATTTTCTTTTTATTGTGCATGATGGATCGCTTGTATGTGGTCAATTTCCATAATTTTTCCAAATATATAAAAATTATATATTATAAATTATATATATATATGAATTATATATATATGAATAGATATTTATATATATATATATTTTAACATCTTTAAGAAACATTTATGAAGTTGTACGTTTAAAAAGGAGGAAAGAATTATTTAGCCAGATGCAGTATTTCGAAAAAAAGAAACAAGATACGAATGACTCATCATGAATACTCTAAAGATAAAATGATATAATAAAAAAATAGTATTGTTTGTAATCTGCATTATAAACATATATTTAATTTGTAAGATATGACAGAAAAAATTTTATTTAAAAAAATTAAAGATATTGTAAAGATTATATCTAAGTTAATCTATATGTGTAAATACAATGAACTGTAAATACAATGAAAAAAAGATGATTTAGATTGCGTGATTTAGACTGCCAATCAGACTGTTAATGTTTTCTAAGGTTATAGTTACACGACTTAATTTTTACATAGTTAGAAATAAAGTATCGAAAAAAGTAATTAGTAAAATCGTTACCATTACACCCCAAAAATATAATTGCGTTACTATGAACGTTACTCAGAAGAAAATGTAATGTCGTTACCTATTCGTTACCGAAAAAAGTAACTTATAACGGTAACAACATTACAAATAGCGCGCAATTACTTGCCCTGGTAATATTATTAATCGTTCAAAATATTTATAATAATATGTTATTTGTTAATTTCATGCAAAGCAGCTTTTATTAATATGCACTGATGTAATATTGTGTAAGTGATCGAATTCGCTATTACTTTCTGAGATAGGATTTTTTAAATAATTACTTAACAATATCAAATAATTAATAGAAAAATAATAGAAAACAAGATAAAATTTAACACACGGAAATAAATCAAAATGTGTTTTATATGTATAGCTTAAAAAAACAAAATAAAATTTAAGAGAAAAAGATTTGTTTATAATTTATAATTTTTATGAATGTTTTTAAATGTTGATTGATGGGATATGTGTCTAAAATATTTGATACTTTATTTAAATACACCTTGTATAGTTAGAAATATTATTTTAAATAATTCTTTCAATTATTGAGAGAATTATAATTATTGCAGATTAACTGAAATTTGACCGCTCTTAATTGATTGATGTTCGTTATTTTTAGTGCAGACCTTTCCTGAATTGATGTCTAGGGATAGGTTAAAAAAATATTTTCGAAGAGAATTATTACCCAGTAAATTGAGAATGAATTAAAATGGATGTCATGCTGATAGTTTTTATGATTTCATCCGCAACGATATTAATATCGATAATTACGAGTCATTACATTGTTGTAAACTTGCCGAACATTTTCCAAAGAAAAATTATCTTATAAACGCGTTTTTGCTTGCCTCTTGTATTCTTATAGATAACTTTTTTCTTACCGTTTAAAGTCTATGCTTTATTACTTTGTCATAAAAAAAGAGAGAGAAAGGGGGGGAGGAGGGCGCTAGAGAGAGAGAGTTTGAAAAAGTATAATAGAATATTTAAATGAAATACGGCATCACGATTCACTAATGTGATGGTTGAGTAATTTATGTTTATATCGCTTGAAGACTGAAATAGCTTGAAATCCGAATAGCAAATTGCTAATGTGAATGATTTTTTGCAACAGGATTACGTAAAACAGGAAATGATTTTGCAACAAAGAATGGTAGATCAACAAACATTAAATCGCTTATCTCACAGAATCTTACAGAAATGAAACGTGTACGTGTCGCAGTAACAGAAAACAAAGTGATATTGATGTGATATAAAGCGATAAGAATGCGATCCAGTCCAGAAATTGGTATGTGGTAGATATAGATATTATATATAAAAAAAATTTGTCAGTAAAATAAAAAAATCTACGAGAAATATTTAATTACAATAGAAAAAAAATTTTTCTTGATTCGTAAAATACTTTTATTATATAAATGTTATACACACTTTGAGTGATAATAAAAAATCAATTTTGCATGTAGTTTTTTAATTTCCGTGAAAAAATTATGGATAATAAGTGTTAATGAATGATGCACGAATGGGAATATGTTTTAAGAGAGAGAGATTTATAAATGAAAAAGAAGAGCATTTCTAAAATTCGATGGCAAAAACTGTAAAAATGTACACGAATATTTATAAATCCATACGCAGATGTTAATCCCAAGCGTCAACCTTTTGTATTACCAAGAAAAAAATGAATGTAAAAAAAACAATGTTTTCAGAAAAAGACATCAATAAAATTTCGAAAGAAAGATATAACTTTCATTCTTTTTTTGGTGACCGTTAGAGGATCCATCTTTCTGAATTAGTTTTTAAATGATTAAAGCTTGAAGCATAACTGACAACGACAATATTTCGTTACGATAAGGATTTTCTTTATTTAAGGTTTTTCTTGGGTGTCATTGTTATGATAATTTTCGATTTTCGAAGAAAAAATGTAAAGGAATAATACAACCATCTCCAATCACAAAAAAATTGTACTCTCTTTTTCTGGATATACAATGAAATTCCTTTCTTTTCAAGGAGAAAAAGAAATTCTCTGAAAATTACATTCCTAGTTTTTCAGGTAATAAACTCTGAACTGGTCAAAGAGGAAGGAAACTGCATGAGAACGTTAACAAGGATGGATGTCCATTTTAGAGAAGGAAGGAAAGAATCAGCTGATCGCCACCGCGCTGTTCCTACAATTTTGCCATGGCACGTGATATTTTTTCGACGGTCCGTAGCAACCGTGATGTCAGGTAATAAGAAAGATGCCCCACAGAACATCCACAGAAAGAAACGAAACTCTCAAGTTAACGGATGTTCCTTAATAGTGAATTTAGGAGAATTTAATCGCGCATTAAGAAGTGTATATCAAGAGGCTACAAAAGGCGTACAACGTCGTATACAAGCGATTAAAGATTAGTAAGACGTCACGTTAGTGGATTAAAAATATTTTATCGGGTCAAGTTTAGTTCAGGCAAGATCACATGTTATATTTTTACATTTTTCTAACACAAGAATATTTCATGTATGGCAGCCTTTATAGTTTATTGAGATGGTGCGTGCTCGGCAAGATCGAATTATACGTGCGACTGCGAACGCGAACGCAGTGTTTCCTCATAGTAGCATTTCCGTCGACGTCCCGTTCATTGTACAGTTATCATATTGCCGGGGTATTATTTAGACAGCACCGAGGTAGTCGCTGTAGTCAGTGTAGTCGTCATTCACTTCGCTCGTCGCAGGTCGTGGTCAGTCCGGTCAGTCGTGATCAGTCGGACGGTGCGAACGGAACAGAAGGAAAGAGAAGAGAGCGTCCGGGTCGTGGTGTGTATTAACTTGTGCCGTTCTTGATGATTCTCGATGCTTTCGCGCAAATCTGATGAGTAAGTGTCACGCCGGCCTAACGTGAGACATCACGCCACCGTCGTTCGATCGCTTCTCATGGCGAGTTCTTGCGTCGCTAAACGCGATTTCTCGGCTCGACGTGACGTTTGACCATCGACGGGGTGACGACGACGCGACTGACTGTCATCAATAGAGCATCGTAAAGTAGTTGATGCATTACAATGAGCATTCAGCGGACTCAACAGTTGAATGAGCGTTTGCTGTATTATTGGTATATTCTTTTAGATCATCCAATCAAAATTTTAGATCTAGAAGAATACCTCAATAGCAGCGAGCGCTCACTCAACTATTGAGTCTACTGAACGCAGCCAATCTTCTTTTGAAGATGCTTGTCGCAACGAGCGTCTTGAGAATCTTATCAATGTATTGTAAGATGCTGCTGACAATAACTCGGCAAATGTTAAGAATAGTCGACGCAATTTGCAAAATGAGAGCAATGTCATGATAGAAGATTGATCGCTTGGATAATTAATTATTTATACGTACGAGTTTACGTAACGATATCGCGCGTCTATGCTTATCGTTTGAATATAGCTATAATGAATGTTTAGAAGGGCGCTTTCATACTCGCGCGTGTAATCAAAACATAATTTCAACCGTTTAGCACGGCCAATCTACTCGTTGCTTTGATATTGTAATATTTCAACAGAAACTGTATTTATATATTATTGAGGTATTATTTACAATATAATTATTACTTTCAAGATTTTGTTTTGTATTCAAAAAAATAGAGTTGTTACGTACAATTGTAAATTAAATTGTAAATTAAGAAAAAGATTCTTATTTTCGGTCAAAACAAATCTTGGTGCTTGATATATGCAAATTTACATAAATATATTTTTCAACACAATATATATAATAAATAATAACAAATGATTAATGATAAAAAAACCAATTAAATTTATATTTAATTCAATCCCAATAAATATATATAGTGTGAGAACAGATTACAATAAAACGATTTAAAAAAATGGATAAAAATGTGCATATATCATGAACTTGTGTAACGTTACTTATGTAAATATATTCCTGCATTTCGTGTCATGTGTGTTTCATATTGTGTGCGCAAAAAGATGATCTTTGACTTCTGGCTTAAAAATAATTCTTTGCATCTAAATGATTTAAAGTTTTAAATGCTCTCCACATTTGGATTATGAAAAAAAAATCATTGATTATTAAAAGAAATATGAATTGTATTTGCACAATGTTTTCAACATAATGTCATAAAAATAGACACATGAGATATTTTTCGTTTGAAATTGTACTTACAAAATTGTTTTTAAATGTATGTATCTTTTTCAGCGAATACATTATTTATCATAACAGAGAGATCTGCAGTAAACTATTCTATTCTGAGCAATGAGTCCGCAAAGCCATAAGAATAATTTAACTCCAAAAGACATGCAGTCTAACGGATACTCTGCTGCCAATACCATGGCCAAAGAAGCAAGGAATCATTCATCTCCTTGTGAGTCAGTGGATTGTATGTGTGCTTAGATTGCCAATTTTTTACTTTTTATTAGATACTATGTTATATGCTGCATCGTTTGCAAATGTGTTTGGTATTTTATATTAGGTATACAACTTTGCTTCCGCCGTTTTCCTATAGATGGCTTTAGCGGTAAGGTGGTCGAAATAAATAGATCATAGACATCAATAAACTTGGGCATCTGTCAACATAACCCCATAGAAACATTAGTCGATTTGTGTCTGCATCATAAAGTTATTCTCGATTCAAAATGTCAGTTTACGAGCCAAATTCTCATCATTTGCGGGAGGTTTTAATTTTTTGTTTCAATATGAAGAAATCTGCGGCTGAGGCTCATCGAATGCTCTCAAATATTTATGGTGAGGCCGTTATTAGTGAAAGAACGTGTCGTGAGTGGTTTCAACGCTTCAAGAATGATTTTGACGTCCAAGGTCATGCTCTGTATTTGGGACCAGCTCGGCGTAGTGTATTATGAACCGTTAAAACCGACTGAAACAATCACAGGCGATCGGTATCGAACGCAATTGATGCGTTTGAGCCGAGCATTGAAAGACAAACGGCCGCAATACAACGAGAGACACGATAAAGTGATTTTGCAGCATGACAATGCTCGATCCCATGTTGCGAAAGTGGTCAAGATATACGTTTGGAAACATTGAAATGGGAAGTCCTACCCCACCCGCCGTATTCTCCAGACGTTGTTCCCTCTGACTATCACTTGTTTCGATCAATGGCACACGGCCTGGCTGACCAGCACTTCCGGTCTTATGAAGAAGTAAAAAATTGGATCGATTCGTGGATAGCCTCAAAAGATGACTAGTTTTTTCGACGCGGAATTCGTACGCTACCCGAAAGATGGGAGAAAGTAGTGGCCAGCGATGGATAATACTTTGAATCATAAATGTATAACCAGTTTTTTACAATAAAGCCTCGAATTTCGGAAAAAAAACGGCGGAAGCAAAGTTGTACATCTAATACCTTGCATCATTTATAGATTATAATTTTTAGTAGATTATAATTTTTTCAAATTTTTGAATATGAAAATGAAACGATTGACTGTATCAGGTCTGTCCAATTTGAGCTCCGGAGTAAAAACACAAAGCATCGACGCAAGAAAAATTCAATGTGAGTAAGATTTCATGGACTGTAAAGTATTGATGAGTGTCACTCAGACTTGTATCAATATTTTATAGTCTCCGAAATCTGACATATTAATTTTTTTGTGTCGATGACTTTGTGTTTTGTCTCCGGAGCTCAAATTGGACACATCCTGACTATATAATATAAATAATTAAGCAACGATTTAAATCAATTCAAACTGACGAGTATAATGTCCACGATACACTATTTACTTTATATATCCGCAATATTTTCAATGCTTTTATTATATAATATATAACTATTTGCAAATATAATTATCGATAATTTAATCTTTATTCAAATTTATTTTAATGAAAGGCTGACTATTAATTATCAGTATATTAATTATTATCAGTATATTAATTATCAGTTCATTTTATTATCAACTTTTCATCAGCTAAGAGTAGAAGTCGAAACTAATAAAACTGTGAATATTATATCTGGAAAAGACTATATACATATAAACTGGAAATACTAATACTGTGTCTATTATTATTGTCTGTATCTATACTGTAATCTAATATTATGAATATTGTACTTGAATGATTATATGCATTGGGAATACTGCCTCTATACTATATCTAACACTACGAAGAGTTATATACAATAATTATTTTATCGCACGAATATCTACACTTACTGACTTGTGAACATCATTGCTTAGATTTTTTTAAAAAGTATCAAATGTTGAATTTTGTTAAGCTAAATAATATTCGTAACAAAGTAGATGATGCTTGCGACAAAA